AGGGCTTGGAAAATCAAGCACTGTTCATAGATAAAGTTGTAAGTTTTATAAAATGTTTTTTTACACTATCGCTAAAGCGTTGAAAGCCATCTGCTTGACATATTGTTGTTTTCTAAATTAATAACCATCGATAAGTAAGCCGGCATTCCCTCAATTTGTAACAAATTTCTCAATTGTGGCCATAACGTTTAGATGAAGCTAAATGATTAAATTTCGACTGCAGAGTTATTTATATAAGTATACTCATTCTGATTAGATAGGCAGTAAATTCTGTTGATTAGAACTCATTTGTACCATAGGACTGGCGGTAAATTCAGATTTTACTTTGATGTTGCTGTGGTGTATTTGTCAGAAGAACCACCGTTTTTAAGTCATGCCCACAATTTGGCATCGAGCCATAATGTGACAAAACCTTGACTGATGAATGAATGGTGTAAATTTCAAAACTTTGGCAATAGCTGATAAATGAGTTTAGTTAACATTTTAAATTTCAAGAATACTAACATTAATTTGTCGATTATCACTCGGTATTTTTACAAAGCATATCCTGTTACGTTCTATCTCAAATGCTTGAAATTCTTTCTTATTCTTGTCTCCAAATAGTTATTTCACATCAAAGGTGCCCGTTTTTTTTTTACTTGCAGTGCCATTCAAACTTATATTAAAATGTCAGAAATCATTTCGCGGTCTTTAGCTCTACTGGTCAGAGACCAGAAGAGCTTATGCGATAGTAATGTTTCCGTCGTACATCCGTCTGTCTGTAAACAATTTTTCAAAATGCTACTCCTACAGTTTTGGTCTAATTTCAATATAACTTGGCACACAAGTAGACTACACTAAGATACATAATTCTGTGTATCGGTTTTTGATTTCGATGAACGGTGTTGCCGTGGTTACTAAAAATAGAAATTTCTGTGAAATTCTTTCAAAACGCTACTCCTCCTACAGTTTTGGTATGATTTCAGTATAACTTGGCACACAAGTAGACAACACTAAGATACATAATTTTGTGTATCGGTTGTTGATTTCGATGAACGGTGTTGCCGTGGTTACTAAAAATAGAATTTTCTGTGAAATTCTTTCAAAATGCTACTTCTCCTACAGTTTTGGTCTGATTTCAGTATTACTTGGCAAACAAGTAGAATACACTAAGATACATAATTCTGTGTATCGGTTTTTGATTTTGATGAACGGTGTTGCCGTGGTTACTAAAAATAGAAATTTCTGTGAAATTCTTTCAAAATGCTACTCCTCCTACAGTTTTGGTTTGATTTCATTATAACTTGGCACACAAGTAGAATACACTAAGATACATAATTCTATTTATCGGTTTTTGATTTCGATGAACGGTGTTGCCGTGGTTACTAAAAATAGAAATATCTGTAAAATTGTTTCAAAATGCTACTCCTCCTACAGTTTTGGTCTGATTTCAATATAACTTGGCACATAAGTAGAATACACTAAGATACATAATTCTGTTTATCGAATTTTAATTTTGATGAACGGTGTTGCCGTGGTTACTAAAAATAGAAATGTCTGTAAAATTGTTTCAAAATGCTACTCCTAATACAGTTTTGGTCTGATTTCAGTATAACTTGGCACACAAGTAGACTACACTAAGAACATAAAGAGACTTTATCAACGATCATTACTCTATTTAGTTTCAAATCCCAGCTGCTTAAGTACTTTTCTCTTCCTTTGCTATAAGTTCAAACCAGTAGAGCTTCAGTTTCGACAGAGACTTCTGGTTGTACATTGATCGCTATAAATAAAAGTTCAATCGGCCATGTTTTCCTTTGACCCCCCCCCCCCCTTAAAAATAAATAAAATCGATCGTTGAAAGGAAAAACAGCTTTAAAATAACATAGTTTACGATCGCTACCTCTGTTCCTGACAAAAATCTAGCCCTCAGTCGAAGCTGAAACATCTTCACAAGTACCCAATAATGATCAAAACAATCATTCCGAATTGTTTTGATCGACGATACCCAGACGCAACATTCAAACTACAATCCGTTCAGATGGAGAAAGGTATTTATACAGACTCCGGACCATGGCTTGACAGGATGAAGTGGGCGGTGCTAACTGTCAAGCAGCTTTTCTCTCATTGGTCCTTTGGTACAAGTAACTTACACAATAGATATTAATTGGTTAATGGTAAATACACTTGTAACAGTATTCTGTATTAATTAATGACTACTCCCTAATCATTATTATCATTGTACAATAACACCTCTTTTTGTCACGTGGTTAATAAAGTGGAAGCCATGTCAAAAGCCATGCTTGTTTTTACTTCAACTTTGCTACTCATTTATTGATACAGTACTTCGTGAAACATGGTGTCAGAAGTATAAATGTGGTGAGTCATACGTCTTGATCGCCGTCATTTGTTTATATTGCTCCAAATATTAAAGAATCTACCCGATTTCTTTTTGGACCGCATTTCCTCTGTCGTGCAAAACCATGCCTGAAGAGAATGAGCAAGTTGAAGCGGCTCCAGCTGCAGTAAATCTTTTCTCTATGAATATTCCATTTCCTACGCCCTTAGATTTGAAAGGTGACCTCGCTTTCAATTGGAAACATTTCAAACGAGTGTGGGAAAATTATGAGATCGCTACGGGGTTAAGGGAGAGAGATTCTCAACTCAGATGTGCAACATTCCTCACTTGTTTAGGATCAGATGGGTTATATGTTGTGGATGGACTAAAATTTGATTCAGATGAAGACAAAAAGAACATTGATAAGGTTATCACTGCACTTGACACTTACTGTGTAGGTCAAACCAACGTCATATATGAGCGTTACACATTTAACTGTAGAAATCAGGAACAGTAAGAATATATAGATGCATATGTTGCGGAATTGCGTACACTAGTGAAAACATGTAAATTCGGGGACATGGAGGATGAGATGATAAGGGATCGCATTGTTATCGGAGTTCGAGATAACCATACCCGTAAAAAGTTGTTACAGGAGAAGAATCTAGACCTTCAGCGTTGCATAGATATATGCCGATCGAATGAGAAATCTGAATCTCAGCTCAAGTCTATTGCAGATGTTCACCATGTCAAGTTCAAGCAGAAAGTGAAACAAGATAATCGTGGTAAGACTGAGAAACGTAGAGACACACAATCCATACCAACCATTCAGTCATGTCGATACTGTGGGAGAACACATCCGCGCAGCCGAGAGAAATGCCCAGCGTTTGGACAGACTTGCAACTCGTGTGGTGAGCAGAACCATTTCGAAAGGAAGTGTCCCAACAAAGAGCCTCCTAGAGCAAAACATCGTGAAAAACGTCGTGGTACATGGAATCGCAGAAAGTCACAAGTTCATGATATAAAGACCCATGAAAGCGACTCATCCGATGAACTCGTTCTCGTTATTGAACAAGTGCACTCACTTTCATCTAAACGTCATACAGCTGTAATGAATATCCAGGTCAAATATGTGGAGTTCCAATTGGACAATGGATCTACAGCTAATATCTTACCTGCTCATGTGTACGTGCGTCTCACAGCTGACAAGGAATTTCAGAATCTGAAGAAAACTGATGTTACCCTACAGATGTACAACAAAACTGAAACTAAAGCCTTGGGCACCATCAGGATGTCTGTTCGAAATCCGTGCAATCGAAAAAAGTATAATCTAGAATTCCTCATTGTGCCAGGCAAAGAACTACATTGTATTCTGGGCAAACGAGCTATTGAAGGAATGGAACTTATTACTGTGCATACGGACAAATTCCTCACAAAGACACAAGTTCAGAATGATGTCATTTCGCAGATTGACATTAAAGAAGAAATTAATGAGAAGTATGCAAATGTGTTCAAGGATCTCGGAAAACTGGACGGTAAGCTTCATTTGGAGGTCAAGGACAGTGTGCGACCTGTACAGTTACCGCCTCGGAAAATACCATTAGCCTTGAAACCAAAAGTGAAAGAAGAGCTAAACAGACTGGAGAAGTTAGGTGTCATTAAACCTGTAAACACACCGACTGACTGGGTATCTGCCTTAGTGGTGGCTCCTAAACGCAATGGTGACATTCGCCTATGTATTGATCCGAAACCACTCAACGAGGCATTAATGCGGAACCATTACCCAACACCTACTATTGAGGATATTTTACCTGACTTGCATCAAGCTCGTATTTTCTCCATTGTTGACGCAAAAGATGGGTTTTGGCACATTGAGCTCGACAGTGAGAGCAGCTATCTAACTACATTTGCTACACCATGGGGCAAATATCGCTGGTTGAGGATGCCATTTGGAATCTCGGTAGCACCTGAGGAGTTCCAAAGGAGAGTGGACGACGCCTTAAGTGGTATTCCAGACATCAGACCTATACATGATGATGTGCTAATTTATGGCTGTGGTGAGACAGACGAGGAAGCTGAAAGGGACCATGATGTGAAATTTCGAGCCCTAATGCAGAGATGCATGGAGAAAAACATAAGGCTTAACCAGAGTAAGATGAAACTTAAGCTCACATCAGTGACATATCTGGGATATGTGATCAGCAAGGATGGGTTGAGTGTTGACCCACAGAAACTCAAGGCGATACATGAGATGCCTACCCCAGAAGACAAGGCAGGAATTCAGACTTTAGCAGCAGTGTTTGGCATGGAACATTTCGAGAATTACACATATGGACGGCATGTTAATATACAGTCTGACCATAAACCCCTGGAAATCATTGCACGTAAAAACCTTCACAGTGCACCCAAGCGTCTTCAGCGAATGCTATTAAGACTGCAGAAATTTGACTACAGCATTGAGTACAAAAAGGGCACAGAGATGTATTTTGCTGACACCTTAAGTAGGGCCTATCTTATTGCTGACTCTGATTCAGTTGAGGAGAACATTCATGACATACATAGCATCAACCATCGCGCCTACTTAGCAATATCTGAGGAACGATATTCACAGATAAAGGAAGCTACAGAAAGGGATGACTCTCTACAGTTATTGAAGAAGATCATACTTGAGGGATGGCCTGACTCGTCAAAGGAAGTCCACCCTGATATACAAGTGTATTTTCCATTTAGAGAGGAGTTAGTCGTTCAGAATGGTGTCATCTACAAGGCCGAGCGAGTTGTTGTACCTAAATCTATCACACATAGTATAGTACAGCGTATTATACGCTGTACAATACATAACTCTCATATTGGTATCCAAGGGTGTATCCGTCGTGCCCAGGACTACAGTACCGACCGGACACAACCTAACAGAAGGCAAACCCGGAGCGGACCCCGGGTTCGTACTCTGGGTCCGCTCCGGGTCCGCTAGGGCTAACCCCGAGCGAACCCGGAGCGCACCCAAAGCGAACCCGTAGCGGACCCCGAGCGAACCCGAAGCGGACCCAGAGAGCGAACCCCAAATTCAGCAGCGGTCCCAGAGAGCGAACGCGGGTTCGGTATTTCTTTACAGAGCTGTCAATCAGGATTAGCGATTAACCAATCAGCGCATCAACCAATCAAAATATTATATTGATCTGTCGATTAGGATATAAGATCGAACGTGTTGATTTAATTCGATATAAATCCAAACACTGTACATAAAGCTAGACGTATGAATGTGCTGTGTAAATCTATTATGATAACTAAAATATTATTTAATATTTATTTATTTTAATTCTACGGGTTGTATTTTATATTTAAATATTTATTTTCTTTTTTATTAAAGCAATTAATTAATTATATGTTTTAATTTTCCAAGTAAAAGTATACATGAATATTAACGTTTTTATCTTCTAAAGTTTTTTTTATACCAGTATTTAAAATCTATTTGGTAAATAAATTGGGAAAATACATCAGTCAATGTATAAAAATAGAAATCAATTGATATTACAATTTTTACGGACAAAAAGAGGAGAAAAGAAATATAGTTGGTCTTCGACAATTATTGTAAAATTTCATCATCTCAAGATACTAACAGTTTAGTCCTGAATATTACGTGCCCAATACTTAAATGTAAATAGATATAGGAAACATCAAGACGAAAGAGATCATAACTGTAAACTCTCATTTCTATACACTATATATTTACATAGTTATATGTTGAATTTGAAATTTATATAAACATTATTAAAGAAAGAAATCCGGACCACTATGAAATACGTCTGGTTTATCGGGGTATACTCAAGTGAAGTGCGGTTTACATAATTGAACGAATTAATTACGCTAATTAATCACGACATTTAGTAAATCGTACATTGTTTCATTCTCTCAAAATGGCGTAACTTTACTTTGCAAAATATAATATAGAAGGGGTATTTTAACATATGAATTATGATCTATTATAAATTTTGAAATGTTTCAGGACTAATTATTGGGAAAAAATAATTAATAGAGGCGTAAGCAATACAAATAGTTATTTTGGTTGTTCGAGAGTTGGTAACGCAAACTAACTGTAGAGATACACTAAATTGAAAGAATAATCTTGTTAAGTATCATCAGAAATTGGGTCTAATTCACTTTCATTCTGGTGAAGTAATTCAGTTTGTTAATACAATTAGGGCGGAATGACTTCAATCTGTGCATCACGAAGGAAGATTTTCATATACACGCATTTTTTTCATGCCCAAGAAGATCAAGAAGATCAATAATTTTGATGTAAATTTTGAATAATTTAAGGTAACACGTAAATTGAGAAATCATAAATAAAATAATTAGAATTTTTATAGACAATGTGTGTGTGAAATAGGGGGCATATATTAATATATTCTTAGCGGGTCGGGAGAACAATTATTACTTGCTTTTTTCTTTATTCTGATAAAAATCATCCTTGCTCTAAAATTCTGACAGTGAAAAAGATTTAATATACAGTGTAATTATTTTGTTTAGAAAATGTCCGGTAAATATTTATTACGAACTTTTAATGTGTAACTACTATAAATGAAATCTTAATATATCAGATGTACAAAGGGTTACATGCAATTTATAGATGCGATATCATAATTCATGTGTTAAGCAAACATTTAAAATACGATTTAGCAAAACGTAAGGAATAACAATGTATTTTTAAACTATATGAAGCATGAATTTAAAAGGTATTTTGTTTAGATTTCTTTCGTCAGTTTCACTTGTACACCATTCGATACACTGAAAATCAATTCAACACTCTTTTCTTCCTCTTCTTTTTTGTTTTCTCGTTATAACTTAAGAAAATAAATGCCTTATAACCCGCTGTTAAATTAGTTTGAATTTCTCGGAATCGAGAAATCAAGGAAATCAATTATTCATGTACATGTAAATCAACGTCGAATGTACAGTTGAATTTTAGAAAATCTATCAATGTTCTCCATTATATCACTGTTTACATGTACAGTGTAGATGTCCGCATCGTCGCATAAACAACAATGATCGATCCACAATACCATTACTGTATTGAGTATACAAGGGGCGGGGCTTACTGGCGGTAAGATTAAAGCGGGGTCCGCTTCACGCATCAGTGCGTAAAGCGGTCCCAGGAAGCGAACGCCGGGTTCGCTCTAGCGGACCCAAAGCTGACCCCGAGCGAACCCGGAGCGCACCCGGAGCGGTCCCAAAATTTCTGAAAGCGAACCCGAAGCGGACCCCGAGCGAACCCGGGAAGCGAACCCGGGGTCCGCTCCGGGTTCGCTCTGCTGTTAGGTTGTGTCCGGTCGGTACTGTATGTCTATTGGCCAAATATGTCGAAGGACATTGAATCATACATTGGTCAATGTGCTGCATGTAATACTTACCAGGATGATCAACAGGAGGAACCTATGATCAGCCATGAGATTCCTGCTCGTCCGTGGCAAACCATAGGATGTGACCTATTTGAATGTGAAGGTAAAGATTACCTCATACTTGCAGATTATTATTCAGATTACTTTGAGGTGGAAAGACTTCATGGTAAAACAGGAAGTTCGATCATTCGCATGATGAAATCGCAATTTGCACGTCATGGAATTCCAGATCGAGTAATATCAGACAATGGACCGCCATTTGGAAGTCGAGAGTTTGCCGAGTTCAGTAAAAGTTACGAATTTGAGCACGTAACATCATCGCCCAGATATGCGCAATCTAATGGCAAGGCGGAGAACTCTGTAAAGATTGCCAAACGACTTATTCACAAGTGTGTAATGGACGGAAAAGATCCATTCTTGGCGCTCCTGGATCTACGCAATACGCCTACTCAAGGAATAGGCTACTCACCTGCACAACGAATCTTTGGTAGACGCACTAAGACACTATTACCAGTAGCGGAACATCTACTCAGACCACGTTATGCTGACCGCACCAGGGAAAAACTCTTTGAACGCAAGGAACGTCAGACATACTACTATAATCGAGGAGCCAAGGAACTAAAACCCTTATCAGAAGGAGATATTGTTCGCATCAGACCTACAGGAAATGAAAAAGGATGGAAAAAAGCATTTGTTCAGGAACAGAGTGATGTCAGATCGTACAAAGTGAGAACTGAGGATGGACGTGTATACAGATGCAATCGACGTCATCTCCGATTTAGTCGAGAACCATTCCGTCCTGATCATGAAAATTCAGAGCCTGAACCGCTGACTGACCAATCACAGCGCAATGATGATCCAGTTCCTACAATAGGCAACAGTGAACCAAGTCCAGCTCCACCAATATCAGAACTACGCAATACACTAGATTCCGCACCTGTTCAGCGTCCAAAGCAACCAGTCTCTTCAAGTCCGATGAAGACACGTAGTGGTCGTGTAGTTGTGAAACTAATGCGTTATCGTGATGTGTAGGGCATAGGTAGATAGTGAAAGAGGTAATGATAAATCCTCGTCTACCTATTTCTAAGTTAAGCTTAGAACTTCATGTTAATCATGACATTGTACTTGTTGAGTTAAGACTGTTTGTATGTTTAGTTTGCATAGGAAGACTGTGTTGAGGGCATAATAATCCCTAGTCTCCCTAACAGGGCAAATAGCCTTGCATTTGATTGATTGTCATTAATCAAATCTTAATTTCTCATTCTATGATGTAATGTTGCATGTTGAATGTAAACAATGTTTTGTTTAAAGTTTAATAGTTATTTGATCATGGTATTCAAACACTGAAATGGACAATAATTCAAAGACAGTAAAGTTTCGGTATTAGCAGAAATCTGTAAACTTGACATTTTAAAGAAAGGGGGATGTAACAGTATTTTGTATTAATTAATGACTACTCCCTAATCATTATAATCATTGTACAATAACACCTCCCTTTGTCACGTGGTTAATAAAGTGGAAGCCATGCCAGTGTAACCATACCTTGCTAACTCGATATGTAGCGGTAATGAGTTGTTTTGGACTGATTCAATATGTAGCGGTAATGAGTTGTTTTTGGCAGGTAAAATGTAGCGGTAATGATCGGTCCGTCGTGCGTTAACATTTTAACATTTTCAGCTTCTTCTCTGCAACCACTTAACCAATTTCAACCAAATTTGGCACATAGCATCTATGGGTGAAAGGGAACAAAAATTGTGATTTCATGATCCCTGCCCCCCTGGGGCCTGAGGGGTGGGGCAAAAACCACTAAAATTAGTGCAATTTTTAAAAATCTTCTTCTTTACTTCTGGACATTAAGAAGTCAAACAATTTGCAAGATTGTAATCAGCATTCAGTCCTCTACCAAAATTGTGAAATTCATGGCCCTGGGGTCAGGGGTTCTAGTGCTAGGGCGGGGCTAAATAAGTATATAGTGAAAATACAAGAATTCTTATAAAATCTTCTTCTCTGCTCCTGGGTATATAATAAACCAACTAAGTACATATAGTTATGATGAGCAAGAGTGCCTCTACCCAAATTGTGAATTTAATGGCTCCAGGGTCAGGGTTTTGGTGTTAGGGTGTGGCTCTATTGATTATTCAGTGAAAATACATGAATTCTTTTAAAATCATCTTCTCTGCTCCTAGTTATTAAATAAACTAACTAAGTGTGTAGTTATGATGAGCAAGTGTGCCTCTTCCAAAATTGTGAATTTTATGGCCCCAGGGTCAGGGGTTAGGATGGGGCTCTATAGATTATATAGTGAAAATATGAGACCGGCCCTTCAAATCAGACCGTATAAACCGAGGTCCTTTGTCGCAGTAAGTGCTGGAACGAAACAGACCCCTCAATGCTTGATGGCCTATAGTGTTGAGTAGAGGACAAAATTTGCAGCTCTCCAGCTTGCTGGCGTCTTAATGAGTAAAAATTGTTGAGAGACATTAAAAAATCAATCAAACATCCTTATGATCTGTCTCAGTTTCAGGCCTTTTAATCACTAGAAAAGAAAGAGATTTCAAGCACATCTGTGATTTCGAGTTGACAAAAATGCTGTGGTATAAAATGACAAAGAACGTGTTATTTAACCATGTTTTCGTAATCAAAAAAAGCAGGTGATCTCTAATTATATACGTTAAATCAATGGAAAGCGAACTCTTTCTGGCAAATGGTAAATCTCACGGACAAATCGGATCAAAAATACTGAGAGATGACGTTAAGGGTAAACAGGTCCGGTACGGATTTGGTCAGTCGAATTATTATTTACAATGTGAATTCAAAAATTTCGACGCAGATTGTTTTTATCCACGTCTTTTGACGTTTGATGCATCCAAAGTTTTTATCGCTGTTTCCAACATGTGGAATTTATTTTATTTATAAATTAATTTAATCAATATCTGAATCTCATAATCCACTGATTTTAATAGATATAAATAAAAACATTTTGAAATGGTTTCTTAACAATCATATCTATTGTACGTCTTTAACTTAAGACCAAAGTTATACCAATAGTTTCCCAGCATGTATAAGGTGTTTTTCTGATAGGATAATAAACATGTATACTCTAGATAAACAAGAGGCCCATGGGCCTTATAGGTCACCTGAGCATTATTCAACAACTTTCCAGTGATTGAATTTGATCCATGTTTTAAGCCAAATGCTATAGCATTTGCAATTTGGTCATCATAACTATACACTTAGCATTTCCTTAGTTTGGTTACTTTATACCCATAAGCAGGGTAGGGAACAAAAAATGCATTTCAACTAATCAGTAATATTCAGCAATAATCAGTAGTGCTGCTACCACACATGAACCCTTGACTCTTAGGCCTAGATCCTCACATTGCACTATTTTTGGAAAGGCATTCTCGCTTTTCAAAAATATTTGATTAATACCAAGGAGCACATTTCAAACAATTCTTTCATTTTCAGTATATAAGTACAGCCCCCCCCCCCTCTATTCTACAACTGACCCTGGGGCCTTGAAATTTACAATTCTTGAAGATTAGGGATTACTTTTAACTATATAGGTAGTTCATCTGCTTAAAACCTAGGAGCAAAGAAGAAAATATTCAAAGATTTAATGTTTTTTCACTATGCATGTATAATCAATACAGCCCCGCCCTAACACCAGAATCCATGACCCTGGGGCCATAAAATTCACAATTTTGGTAGAGGCACTCTTGCTAATCATAACTATGTACTAAATTGGTTTATTTAATACCCAGGAGCAGAGAAGACGATTTTCAAAGAAATAATGCATTTCTACTATTTACTTATTTAGCCCCGCCCCCGCCCGTAAACCCATGACCCCAGGGCCATGAATTTCACAATTTTTATAGAGGACACAATGCTGATTACAATCATGCAAACAGTTTGACTGCTTGATGTTCAGGAGTAAAGAAGAAGACTTTTAAAGATTGCATTAATTTTAGTGGTTTTGGCCCCACCTCTCAGGCCACAGGGGGGCAGGGATCATGAAATTCACAATTTTTGTTCCCCTTCACCCATAGATGCTTTATGCCTAATTTGGTTGAAATTGGTTCAGTGGTTGCAGAGGAGAAGCTGAAAATGTTCAAATGTTAACGCACGACGCATAACCACGACGACGGACGAAAAGGATAGCAATAGGTCACCTGAGTTTACTCAGGTGACCTATAAAGGAAAATGTTTGGTATGTATACAGTCGCATTTCTTCTTACTTTTTTCTTTAAGATTCCTTTAAATAGATCAAACAGAATAAACTATTTCAATAAATGAATCTATGGGGTACATGTAAATGCATCATTCATGTTTTTCCTGTTTTTAACCCCCCCCTTCCCTTATTTATTTGAAAGGAGTTTCTTCGTTGTAAAAGGGAAACGTAAAGTTAATAAGCTACCAGATTATCTTTTGTGAGAATTTTTTTTTTATAAAATTAGTTTATCGTAACTATCGGGGAATTCAGTATAATGAAGGACAACATGTGTTCTGATAATATTTTAAGAATTTACTGGATGTTCTACTTTTTCCAAACCACGAATTTCAAATAAATAATCCTGATGAAAATTGAATACGCGTTTATGAATAGGATACAAATCCAATGATTAAATGGGCCATATCTTTAGCATGTAATAGATAATTTGATTTGGGACGGTGATCATGTAGATAAAAATCATGATGTGAAAGTGAATCGCTATTTTTATACTCGATAAAAGGAGAGATAATTTATTACTGTCGGAACGTAATCCCTTCGTAATAGCGATCGTTTAAATTCTTGACAATTTTTAATATTGATTGTTAATAAACAATTTAAACCATCATTTGTTACATTTAAAGTGGGCTGTAAAGTTGATGTTTGCACTTGTTTTGATATTTGCGCCAAACAAGTGTCCGACACTATCTAGTTTTAGGAAGCAATGATATAAGATGAACATATTTCGTACTTAAAAAGCCAAGGATGTACGGCTAAAAAGTAAAAGCAGTCATCATGAGTAAAGTGATATTATGTCTGTATTTGTTATATTACGTCCGTGCATCAGCACAGTTGATAGCGACTAACAATTTCACTTTATACCCAGACCTGGACGACAAAGTATTTACTACTTCTCTTATAGGAGAATATGATGCGGCGTCTCTGGGTGTTTGCTCAGCGATCTGTGGTCAAAGTTGTGGCTGTTTCGGATTTAACTCTCGGACCAAGAAATGTCGTCTTCATGACACGTGTTCTGAAAGTTCCATTATCGCTGTAGTCGAGGCGAATTGGAGGTACTTCCTGGCTGCTGCCTTTACAGGTGGACAATCAAAAGGTATGTTTTAAATGGGAGAACTTTTCGATGCTCGTTGTCTAAGATGAAGAATTTCAGGATTTATTTGCAAATTTTATATAAGATATGACTTTGCTAATGAAGACCACAATGTCGTTTGAATAATGATTTATCAGATTGAAGTACATTTAAATAAGAGCTCAGGGTAAATTTCTCAAAAATGGAGTCACAGAAAATGTTCTTTTTATAGTTGATAGTTTGGCAATGGACTGTAAAGAGCTGTGTGAAAGAGGACATACAATATCCGGTTCCTACTTGATTTATCCCTATAAAAATAATGTGTCCCTGGAAGTTTACTGCGATATGGAAACTGCTGATGGAGGGTGGACCGTAAGGATATGTTTTAAGTTAATTAACTACAGTTTTTAGCTCACCTGAGCTGTAAGCTCAAGTGAGTTTTTCTGATCACATTTTGTCCAGCGTTCGTCTGTCTGTAAAATTTTTCACAATTTCAACTTCTTATTCGGAAAAACTGGGCAAAGAGCCATAGCGCATTTGATAGTCACTTTCGCCTACTCTAGTAGTGATTTTTAAAATACTTTGTTTACCCAAAATTTTGTCATACTTTTTATACATGTTAAAGCAAATAGGATCATACTCAATTATTTGTTCAAGTGATAGTTTTAAAAATCGCCATTTATATGGAAATATAGTAAATACTGGAGATACCTGTAATTAAAAAAACTTCTGAACAATTTTATTGGGATGTGAGCACTTCATTTTTAGATAATTTTGGTAAAGGTGGTCCTCATATAGTGTTTAGATAAAATTATTTAAAATTCAACAATCTGTCTTAATTTTATCTTCTTGATTATCCCCGGGATAAAGCTGGATTGTAGCCACATTGTGAGTTCGAGTCAAAGTTTAACAATTTTTTTTTCTCTGTGTGCATTTACCTATTTTTCTTTTATTATTTTATAATACATCATCTAAATAATTTTTAAAAGAGATATATAATATTAACACATTATAACTTGGAATAACAGTCTTATATTTATATGGAAAAATTTTCAAATAATCTTGTTTAGATGTATTTTTTTTTGCAACAAACTTGTTTTAAATGTGTTTAGTATTTGAATGAAAATGCATTCCATTTTTTTTTTTGAGTACATTTTCTCTGCAGTCAGCTTTTAATCAAAATTATTCAATTCTTTAATTAAAAAAGTAAAAAAATGCTTTTAATTTGTTTATATAGGTAGATTTCTATAAACCATGATGCTTGGACGATCAAAGTTTAACATTGCCATTTTTAGGTATGGATAGTCATATTTATATGGAAGCATAGTCATGTATTTTTTTTGTTTTAAATGTGTTTAGATTTGAATGAAAATGCATTTTCTCTGCAGTCAGCTAAAAATTATTCAACTTATTTTACAAAAAATTATTTATAAGGAGCAGTTAGTTTTAATCAAGAATTGGGCTGCTTATAAGACTGGGTTTGGAACAATACAAGAATCTCACTGGATCGGTATGTGATATATTATTTTAACTTGTATATATACAGGTAAATGCAAAATGTAATTCTTTATATGCATGTATGACCGGAATACGGGATGCTCACATCATCTAGGCAGCTTATCCTATTTCTGAATTTTAAGGGACCTGCGTTTTATGCCCTGTTTATAGATTGCTATTGCTTATAAAATTTTCAAGTCAGATCGCTGTTTGTTATCTTAACTTTTTTTATTGTGTACACCTAATGACGTGTATTTTTCAGGGAATGAGGTCATCCATCAACTAACAAAGGGCAATGACTCCTCCTTATATCTGTCTATCACGCTTAACAATAGTACAACGATGTATGAAATGTATCAAAACTTCTCTGTGTCCGACGAGACAGATAAGTTTCGTTTGTTCCTCGGGGGAGCAGCAACAGGAACTCTAGGTATGTATGGATAAAGAAAATACCTTTTTGTGGTTGAATGTTGTTAAACCTTCACCTCCCCCCCCCCAAAAAAAAAAATCAAAAAGAAAAAAAAAAAAAGACGTGTTTGTGAAACACTATGCGCCCGGCGGCAACAAAGTTTAAAAAACATACTTTTAGCATATAGGTTACAGTCAAGGTCAGAAGGTCATTGATCTTGGTGTCATTTGAAAGAACTTGATTAGCGAAGTATGCATACCAAATATGATATCTCTCATGGTTCAAAAGTTATGGTGAAGATTCAAAAAAGCTATCCAGCATATAGGACACAGTCAAGGTCATAAGGTCATTGACCTTGATGTCATGTGAAAGGGCTTAATTTGTGGAGTATACATGCCAAATATTAAGTGGAGTATACATGCCCAATATCAAGTCTCTATCTTTCTTCGTTCAAAAGTTATCTATCTTTCTTCGTTCAAAAGTTATGGCGAAGGTTAAAGTTTGGCGACAAAAAAGCTATATCTAGCGTATAGGTCACAGTCAAGGTCACAAGGTCAATGCCCATGGTGTCATTTAAAAGAGCTTAATTAGTGGTGTATGCATACTAAATATGAAGTCTCTATCTTTTATGGTTCAAAAGTAATGGTGAAGGTCAAAGTTTGAAGGAAAAAAAGTTATTTTTAGTATATACGTCACAGTCAAGGTCACAGGGTCATTGACCTTGATGTCATTTGAAAGAGCTGTATAAGTGGAGTATGCATACCAAATATGAAGTCTCTGTCATTCATGGTTCAAAAGTTATGGCGAAGGTTAAAGTTTGCAGACAAACAGATAGACAGACAAACAAATGGGATAAAAACAATATACGCCTCGGATCTTTCGATTCGGGCGCAGTAAAATATCGCTAAACATAATAATCAATAACAGATCATTCAATGATATGTTATCATTTCGAACCTTGAAATTTGACCGTTTGTACACATGAGATCGGGCTCAAGGTTCCTGATACAGACGTATACTAAAGTTAATTTATAAAATGTTTCAATCTTTCTAAATGATGCTAAAATATTTGCCTATAACAGCAAATTGATGATGCAAAATTGAGAAGTATTTTCTTATTTTATTGTTTAACTTACAAAAAAATTCAGGTATTAAGTCGAGTAAAAATGACTCAAAATTAATTGCAGAAGTCGTATATTTTCTTGAAATATTAACAGAAGGACAGAGTGGCACAGACGAACAGAAATAACAGAAACACAGGCCGAGTAACAGGCAAACAAGATATCAAACGCTAGAGACAAAACAGCATCATTACAATAATAAACAGAAAAATAAATTAAGGAATTTCCACCCTCCTGTGATGTCATACGTGTTTTGCAAAAATTGTAATTAATATAAATTCACACCTATCTTTTGGATGAATGCTTTTGAATAGATGTAATGCAAATAATTGAAAGAATTAGAAAACTGATTTTTTTTAAAAAATAATAATTCAATTGTTAAAAATTTTGCCAAGGGCAATAATTCATCATGCATTCTGGCACTTTCGATATTGTACATATATTGAAAAACTTTCCCTGATAGTGATATTCACAATTCTAGTATTTTGTAAAATTGCAATTACTTTGGAACTTTACTTTTAGAATTATGCAATTTAACCAGTTTTTTGCTTAACGTTAATAAAAGTCCTTAATAAAAACGATATACATGTATTGGTGACACACAGTTCATAGGCCTCGGAACCGGGGGATGCTTTTTTCCAAAGATACATATATTATAGACAATAAACATTTGAGCTTAGGTTTAGCACCCCCTCCCCCCTCGGTATTTTTTTCTCTTTCACTTACTCTCCAACTTTCGATTTGCTTCCAAAGCCAATGCAATTTTATTTGATATTATCATACTTTTTAAAACACATGATAATCTATACATTTTTTTCCCATTATTAATGAAGACTATATTGAGTGATAAAAATGCAGTTTTTCTATTTGAACCCATGAAATTGGTAGGATGGAATCACCTTGACAAAAGTATAGGGTTACAATTTTGTTCTTCACCTAAACTATTTGATTTGACTCAGTAACATGCTGAAGGTCAAACCACCTTACTTGTAAAACCAACCTTTGATAAATCGAAGGAACATTCATTATAATTGTTATAAGCCGTATCTTTTGAATCGACATCCTTTCCTGATTACGAATAATTAAAACTAAGATAACTTTTGTTTAAAAAAGGATACCGAATTAATTTCATATAGTGGTTTTAAATGAAGTCTGAAGTTAAGAATCGATTCTGGATACTTTAGACAAAGATGTTGCAAATGGTCGAGTTTCTCGGTTGAGCTGTTTTCTGCAATAACTCTTCAATTTTAATGTTAATATCAATAGCGCATCGCAAATTTGCATCAAGTTATGTCATTCAATGTCGATTATGCGCTCAGTCTACACAACATTGTGCATATAGACTGATTTAATTTTTTAAAATCGATAGCACTCAATCGTTTAATTATGCATTCTACTCTTGGAAAAATTTCTGAAGTAGGCATTTCATATTGAATTTGAAGAACCAGAAGTCTCTGTCGGGACTGAAGCTCAACTTGTTTGTACTTATAACAAACGAAGAGAAAATTACTTAAGGAGTTGGGAATTGAATTTTACAACAGCAATAAATAGAATAATGATCCTTGATTTAGTCTCTTTATGTTCTTAGTGTAGTCTACTTGTATGCCACATTATATTACTAGAAAACTGACTAGTCAGCAAGGGCCCCGCTGAGGGGTAGAAATATAAGGGTGCAGGTCATTGAATGAGAGTTTTACTTGATTACATTTTTAAAAAAAATATATGAAGATTATTTTTAAATTTTCAAGATAATTCCTGAATGTCATAAAAACATGTAAATAGTAACCTTGTATTTACATAAAACAGGAAAAACCTCATGTCTTGTTAAAAAACTAAATTAAATGTGTATTTAAAAAAATAAGCAGGTGTTATATAAAATGCATGCCTTCAGTGAATGCAAATGTCACCCAGGGTTGACCTTAACTTCAAAACAAACATCAGTTACAGGCAAAGGTGTGCATTAATCCTCATGTGACAGATAAAATAAAATTTTCTGCAACAGGCTAGATAATTAATCCCAAGGGATTAATTGTACTGCTCTCTCATCCTTTTCTTCTAAATTTAAAATAAGAAATTTTTTTTTCCTCTGACAGAACAGGGTTATTATCTGATTACCTGTTAAAATTAACAGCATGAAGGCAGCAAACCAAAAAGAAAAAAAAAATAATTAAAAAAATAAAATAGTAATAATAAAAATGATATCTTAATATATATCTTGAATTTCGAATTCATTCAAATTATCAAAAATCAATGTGTACAGTATTTTAACCAAAATAAAGTATGAACATTATCTTAAATCCATATTTTAGAGAATGTACAAATAATTCAAAGTTGACCTTAACTTCAAAACAAAGTTCATTTTCAGACAGAGGTGGTACAGTTATTAATCTCAATGTGACAGATAAAGATAATGCTTAGGATTTTCTGGAAAGTTAATTTATCCCAAAGGACAAATTGCCAAGCCTTCCCAGTGTACAACGATAACATTCTCAGCAGTTATCTCTCTTTGCCCATTCATTCTTATGCATAGTTAAGGAATCTACCCCACCACCCCAGCTCCGAACCAGAAGACATAGAGAACCAAACTTAGCATCAAAATATGTAATTCTGCCTACTAAACTACCATACCAAATTTGAACTTGATTGGGCAACCATAAAAAAAAGTTATTAGAAAAAAACAAGAAAATTTGTGGACGGAAGAATGACGGACAGACAGACAGACGGACAGACAGAGTGATTACTTAAACAATAAAATGCTTTCTTTGTTTGTTATTACTGGAATGAACGGAAGCAGCTGTTGCAGAAAAAATACATAACCCGCGTAAGCTACGCGGGTTATGTAATTTCTTTCTGCAATAGCTGCGACCGTTCATTCCAGTAATATCAAACAAAGAAAGACATTTTATTGTTTATATTTATATCTGTTTAAATTATCATTTTAAGTAGGATTCAAAATATTAATTATTGTGTTAATGATGCGAACGTCTTTGTACGTTTCATTGATGGAACGGCCACTGATCAAGAAATCTGTACAGGTGATATGCCTAATGTAGTTCATGCAGTGATGAACGCAATGGGTTTTCTTAAGAAATAAAGAAGAAAATATTCAGTGGATGTAAATATTATAGGGCACCCGCAAATCCTTGCGGGGTCCTAATAATCAGACTAAAACTGTATTTGGAGTAGCATTTTGAGAATATTTAACAGAAATTTCTTTAGTAATCAAGGCAATAATGTGCATCGAAGTCAAAAAACCGATATGCAGAATTGTGTTTCATAGAGTAGTCTACTTCTGTGCCAAGTCATATTGAAATCAGACCAAAACTGTAGGAGACGTAGCATTTTGAAAAAAAAATCACAAAACTTTCTATTTTTTGTAACCACGGCAACACCGTTCATCGAAATCAAAAACAGATACAAAGAATTATGTATCTGAGTATAGTTTACTTGTGTGCCAAGTTATATTGAAATTAGATCAAAACTGTAGGAGACGTAGCATTTTGAAAGAATTTCACAGAAATTTCTATTTTAAGTAACAACGGCAACACCGTTCATCGAAATCAAAAACCGATATATAGAATTATGTACCTTAGTGTAGTCTACATATGTGCCAAGTTGTATTGAAATCAGACTAAAACTGAAGGAGGAGTGGCATTTTGAAAGCATTTCACAGAAATTTCTATTGTCAGCAACACTTTTCATCGAAACCAAGAACCGATAAAGAAAATTATGTATCTTCCTATAGTCTACTTGTTTGCTAAGTTATATTGAAATCAGACGATAGGTATAGAAGGAGTAGCATTTTTAAAGCATTTCACAGAAATTTCTCTCTTTTTAGTAACCACGGCCTGCGGCCTTCCTTGGATGTGGATTTCCAGTTTATCGAAATCAAAAAATTGC